AAAGCACTAGGTTATTATAATACCTAGAAAGTTGTTTTTATATATAAGCTAGGTTATAACTATAATAAACTTTAGTGTCTAGTTATTTAATAAAGAAGCATTATTCTTTCTAAATCTATCTATAAGAAGATTACTAGGTAGAAATACCTTTAGTTATATAAATATATCTCTTAGTAATTAACATCTATAGCTATTACTACTAGTATAGGCTATATAAAGCTATACTAGCTTTATAATACTCTTAAATACTATAGCTAACAAGATGCTAGTACTATTTAAGACTATAAGGTTAAGTTTATATATAAGCTACTATAACTATAGATTAAATATATATAGAGTAAAACTATAAGACTAAGTAAACATTAAAAGGGAGACATCTAAGTATATCCTTGACTATTACCTCTAAGTATTGTGGCTTTTCTATACACTATTAGCCGTAATTAAGCTCGAACCGGGTTACAAAGCCAGGTTCCGTAGGCTCAACCGCTTTGACAGGGTGAAGGGTCATCGGTGGCAAACAAGGCCGCCCGTGCTCAACCTCCCATAGCCTCCCACCAATTTCCGTGTCAATGTATCCCATCCAATTGTTATACAGCCTCGAGGGAGGCTCAGCACGATAGTACCACGTAGTTCCTTGGTACCTTCGCTCTCTCCCGTAGCCGAAAGGACTGCCCTCGCCCCCGCTGCCCTTGTCTCCAGAATTAAACCACTTATCCAAAAAGGCACCATTCCAAGCACGGTCAAACCAGGTAGGGTGAGGTGCAAAAACAGCCTTGAATCCGTGCAAGAGAGCAACCGTTTGGGGCGTCATCTCCGAGGCAATATGGTTACCGCGCAGGTTTTCGACATGCATGATATCCAGAAGACGTTTAGAAATACGGCATTGGGTAATAATGGTAGTTCGCCTCGGAAGGGTCGTGTGATCGGGATTTTCGTCATCCTTGTAACCCCAGATTTTATCTCTGAAAATCCAGCTACTGTTGACCGGGTCGAATATAGGGCCCAGGGTGATGAGGTCGGCGTCCTCCCCGACCCCCCACTGGTACGGGTCATCTTCAGGATTTGAGACTGGCGGCTTAGGGCCTACAGGATGGATGAAGGATACTTTGGGCGGGCCCCAGATCTGACTCCTGCCGCGCGTTTCTTGTTCGATACGCATACGGAAGTCAGTCTCGTACCCCCCATGAAAGGCAGGAATATAGTAGCGCTCGTTGCGCTCCCACAAGCCTCTTCGAGGCTGTTTCTTGGAGAATTCTTCCAGGCGCCTTACGAAATCGTAGCTATGGCCGACAACTCTGACGTCCATTTCCCAGTTCCAAATGTAATCGAATTCTGGGTGATCGATACTGAACTTCTGAACGGAAAGCCACTGAGCATGATGAACCGTCTTCTCTTCAGCATCTGTAAGGGCCGTATAGACGTCCCAGACGGCTTGATCGTTCCAGGGTTTGGTAATGTCGTGGAATTCCTTCGGGATGTGCGTATCCAGAATGTTTTGGCGCTCTTTGGCATCCAAAATATTGACTGAGTCATCACGAACGTGTAAGAGTAGAAACACCTCATACTCTCCGCCGGACCGAAGCGAAAGCTCAGAGATCAAGGATCTAATGACCTGCTTATCGTTTTCTGTATATTTCTTGCCGGTATAGGTCCTCAGCAGAACCGCAGTGCGAGCCTCGTGCGCAGTGGTATCCCCAGTGTTGAGCTCGCTGCTGACTTCGTCCTCAAGTCCGAGACCTGAGTCTCGCCTTTTGGATATCTCGGTTTCCTTTGCGTACTTTTCCGCAATGTCTGGAAAGGCAGTCATGAGGTATCTGTTGGACTTACCACCCCCGAACCGGGCGGCATTCTGTTCCAAGCATTTCTTTTGCAAGTCACCCCATTTAATGTTGCTCCACTCGATGGGAAGACCAGTCTTGCTGTGCAGCTGGGGGGTCAAGCCGTACGGACCCAGCCTCGTGTCGCGTTCGTAACAGATGTCGCCGTCCATATCCAGGATATCAAACCCGCCCATACTCGGCATGGGAAAGTCGCGTGGGAGGCCCTTGAAGACCAAAAGATCTTCCACTGGTTCGCCAAGCGCGCCAATACAAGGCACATATGGTGCGCGATGTGTCTTGTTCCACTCGTCACTATTGTAGTTCGGGTACGGATCGAAATGAACTGGTCGGTGGTTTGCGTAGTAGGGCTGTTCTTGTGCAGAAGACGGCCTGAGACGTTCCGCATGTTTGCTGAGATGAATATCTTGTCGACTCAAAGTGTCGAGTGTGTTTCCATAGATTGCGTCGCTTCCTGGAAGCCTATCATGAAGGAGTATAAGTAATCTGGGTACGGATGATAGCTATATGGGCATGGGTAAGCGGATCTGAACTTACTTCTTGGCCGCCTCGTACTCCCTTGCGAAATGATCTCGCAACTGTTGCTCATAATTCGATCTAGCAGCCTCCGCCTCCTGTTCTTTCTGTTTCCTCTCTTCCTCCTCTTTTTCTTTTTTCTTGTTATTCTTCGCCTCCTCCTCTATCTTTTCCTTCTTCTGTTCTTCTTCTGTTTTCTGATTCTGTTGCTCTTCCGACCCTTTGATTTTGTTGTCGTCTTCCGTCTTTTTGCTGTCTTTCTGTTTCCATAACTCGCTGGCTTGCTTAACGCCGCTGTCGTCTGGCGTCTTTGAATGTTCGGAGCTGGACTTCTCAGGCGGTGGAGCGAACGGCTTATTGCCGAAATTGTCAGGTAGCGTTGCAGAGTGGCTGTGGTTCCAGATGATAATGTTCTTCCCGGTATGGAAACAGGCCGTCCAAGAGGTATAAACAAGACAAACGGCTAAAGCCAGATATACGAGCGTTTTAGGTCGCGCCCTGGCCCTCAACGGACTTGGTTTGAACATGATCTCTGTCTCCAGCGATGGAGGCTGCAGCACTCGAGTGATCCAAGCCGATGTGCGTAGTTCCGATCAGGAAGTGATGATGTAACTTTAACGTGCTGTCCTACCTCCCCAAAACCAATGTGATATATTAATGCTCACTATCAGCCAAAGTCTTGACTGGTGCGCGCAAAATAAGTGAAACCTAGTCGTTTACCGATAAGCGAAACCGTGTTCGTTATACACAGTACAAAATGGAACACCGGCACGTTTTCAGGAGTAAGTTATCTGCAGGAATCTAGCCATATTATGTTGCAGGGTTACCCTTCTCATGTCGATGTAGCAGATAGACAAGTAAAACTAGAATCAGGGGGTAGTCGGCGAGTTTAATATAGTAAGGATCATAACTAACTTGATTAAAAGGTGGAGATTTCCACTGTTTGATCACTGACTCATGCTTACACGTATTTATAATTAAGAGACATTTTAATGCAGCCACTGACCTTTGCTCGTCCTCCAGCCCATAACAGCGACAGTTGCAGCAACCTCAGTCTATCTAACAGCAGCTGTAACAGTAGGAGAATGAATAATCACGAAATGGGGTTTGAAATACAAATAGAAGGGAACTAATCAATAATTCTTACTATGTTGGAGATATCACGGAATGCCCGGATACATCCTAAGGGGGCATTTTGAGTAATAGAGTTTTGGCTGACTCAGTTTTAATACACACATGGGGTTAACAACTAGGGTCAACTACAAGTAGATGTCATTGAGGGACCCCCTCACACCCTCGTCACCTAGACTCTTATTTATGCCTCTGCTTAGAAACAAGTAAGGTTGCCTGAAACGAGTCATTAGGCATAGCGAATATACTAGGGTAGTCTGACAGATTCGTTTCTTTAATGTAGATCTCTAATATTGGTCATTCTGGCCATCTTAGCGCTCGATTTTTCAATATACGTTTGGCCCAGGGCCGATTTCTGCTTTGGCCTTTTGTAGCAGCATGACGTTAGGCTCTTATACGAAGGCTGGGTAGAAGGCAGTGAGAAATGTAGTAGTTTGTATAAATCATGGTGTGTGTGCACAGGGGTATTAACTTACCTCTGCTACTCTGTTTAATTATGGAACAGTACGGAAGGCTCGGAAGCCTGCATAGGTAATGAGAGAGGGTAAGAGTAAACTTAGCTCTGTACGGAAGGCTCGGAAGCCTGCGTAGGGAAAGAGAGAGGGCAAGAGTAAAGTTAGCTCTACGAGTCACAAGCGTTTGTCAGCAACCTGGAAAGTGTATAAGAAGGCCCCTTTCAGCCAGTCGAAATCTCTTAGGCCACTGCTTTCCCTCAACAAAGCCATTTACACCAACCCGACATTAAAACTCATATCAACTATAAAGATGAAGCTTTCAGCTATTGTTGCCGCTGTCTGTGTAGCGCTTGCTAGCGCTTCTCCTCTGAAGAGTAAGTATAGCCCTTTTTAGTTTTATAAGAATGAATGCCTAAATCTCTTTAGGCGACGGCCATGGTCTGGACGACAGCCTTGTCTCCCGGAGCGGCGGTAACCCGGGCAGCAGCCACTGCTGCGGTTAATATAAGCATGTCGTGAAGCTAGGACAGCTTAGTATAGCTAGTGCCAGTCAGACGCCGCAAAGTAGCACCTCCAAACCGACAGACCAACATTAGGAAGAGTATTTTAAGGCAATATTTCCCTTGTATATAGACTTGGGAAAATCCACTACTTCTCTTAATAAATGTCTTGACACTACGGAGGAGCCCATCAAAAGAATTATCCTAGAATGCCAAGGCCAGACCTATGTCAAGTGCCAAGGGTATTTACAGGGGTGCCCACCCAACTTAATTGCGGCCAATATTTTATATCCCTAACAGCACTAAAGTAAGCTAGTTATTTTAGTTAATTTAATGCTTTTAATAGCTATTACTTACTATATTTAACCTTTAACTAGTATCTGCTAGCCTACTAGCCCTCCTTGTATTTATTACTACTATTAAGGGCGATAATGGCCTTAATATAGGCTAGTATTTGCTCTTTCTAAGTGTTACGGGCCAGAGCCACGGTGAGTGTGGCAGGGCTTTGCCCACCACAACGCACAAGCCAGCGAGGAGAGCGCGCTCGGTTAGCGCTCGGTTAGCGCCCCTATTTAACCTCACGCGCACAACGCGTATCTGTACACTACTGTAAATAACCTTCCCTCCTTAGCCTAGATTAATCGTATCGAGTTGCCATACACCTGTCAGAAGGTGGTGCCAACCCCTCACACTAAGCCTAGATTTTCTCCTAAGGTAGCTCTTACTAGTACAGAGGTGCATGTCAAAAGTTTATGCCTAATGTGCTAAGACTACCCTATGTTAATTAACAAAGGTAATTACAGGGGTAGCTACCTAAATAAATTTACTACTAATATTTTAATAATGCCTATCTAGAACTTCTAATTAATATCTACTAGTATAACGCCTCTCCTTATATTTATTACTACTATTAAGAGTAATAATAGCCTTAATATAGGCTAATAGCCTTTTTATCTAGGCCTAGATTTACTCTTAAAGTAATACCTACTAGTACTATTACTATACTTTTTTAGCTACTGCCTAGTTAACTAAGGTACTCTTCTTTATTATAAATTACTTTATTTAAGGCTAGTAAGGCTTAATAAGGTTAAAGTTAAGGCTATTATTATACTAGTAAAGCTTTTTAATATTATAAGTTAAATATATTTAGTAAATAAAGTAGAAATTATAAGAAGGTACTTTATTTTCTTAAATAAAAGTACTAAGTAAGTACTTATTATAAATAAATAAAAAAAGCTTTAGTAAAAAAATCTTCTTCTAGTAATAATACTAGTTAATTTTTTTTTTTACTTTTATAGACTAACTTATTAGTATAAGTATTTTAGTAAAAAGTTAGTTTATAGCTAAGAAGCTACTAAAGCTAAAACTAGCTAATTCTCTTCTTTAACTCCTATTTAAGACACTTAACTAGCTTTAGCTTAGTATTTAACTTTATAATTTCTTTATTAATAGCTTTTTATATTACTACTAACTTAGGTAACTAGTAGTAGAAAAGGCCTTTCTTATTATATATAAAGTAGCCTTAAAATATAAACTTAAAGTATTCTTTTTATTAAGTATAAATATATAACTTTATATAAGCTTTATATACTTATTACTATAAATAATAGCTACTATAGTAATAGCCTAAGACTACTAAGGTCTTATTAGACTAAATAACCTTCTTTTAATCCTTAAGTAACTAGTAGTAATAAGCTAGACACTAAGAAAGCTTCTTTTACTTTATTTAAGCTATTAAGCTAGGCTTCTTTATTAGTTTAGTTTTTCTAAAGCTAACTTACTAAAGGATATAGTAAACTATTATTACTAAGAGATCTATATCTAGCTTACTTTAAAGCTTACTAGTAATATTAGTATATATATATTTTTTTACTATATTAATTATAGTAAACCTTTTAGATAATAAGCTTAGCTACTATAGGTATAGCCTTCTTTAGTTAGCTAGCTTAGGGAGCATTATTAATATATTTAGGTTATAAAGAGAAGATAAAAGTAGTTAAATTAAAGCCTTGCTTTTTTACTTAGTTAAGAATATTATTAACTATATACTTAAATAACCCTAGGGCTTAAGTAACTTTATTAGCTAATTTACCTTTAATATAGCTCTAGAGGGCAAGAATAACTACTTATAAAGAAAGGTTAATATATACTATAAGTTATAATAGTTAAAGGGGTAAAAAGGTAGTGTTATTATTATTGTTATTATTATAGGCTACTTTACTTTAGCCTCTATAAAGAAGAAATTATAGTAGATTAATCCTGCCTTTCTGATTAGCTAGATATATATTAAGTAGGTCTACTAGCTAGATTTACTTCTAGCACATTAGGCATAAACTTTTAATATACACCTCTGTATTTCTCCTAGGCTTTTATAGTAGTAGCCTAGTTAACTAGTGCGCCCTTCTTTATTATTAATTACTTTTTCTAAGGCTAATAAAGTATTATAGTTAGTAATCTAACAGTAGGGTTTTTACTAAGAATAAGCTAAGGTTAATACTTAGTTAATAGTAGTATAAGTTTACTAGTCTATTAATTACTTAGTAATTAGTTAGGTAGTTAAACTTAGATATAAGGCTTATAAGAA